ATGGTGAGTGATTTCTCATTCTGAATTTGCTTTGCATATTTCTCCGAAGCTTTTTGTTCTTGATGGACTGAAAAGATCCATATGCAACAATTGAAGTGGCCTTGACATAGAAACCACTTGCTTGGATTTGAAAGTTGTCTTGGTCTGTTTTCCCTTTTGACATGCATCGCATAACTTATCCTTGATGAATTTTATCTTCGGAAGACCAGCAACTAGATCATGCTTTATCAACTTGTTTAAATACTCCATGTGAATGTGAGCAAATCTTTTATGCCAAAGCCATGCCTCGTTGTTGTTCGCCATAAGACATTTTACCTTTAAGGAAGAGTCATCAAAAGAAATCATAAAAATGTTATTATATCTTTTACCTTTTAACAAAATGTCATGAGTGACTTCATGTTCTATCAAGCATTCCTCCTTTGTGAAGTTGATTCGGAACCCTTTGTCACACAATTGACTTATGCTCAGTAGGTTGTGTTTAAGGCCTTCCACATAAAGAACGTCTTCGATGATAGTACATGGAGGTGCACCAATGGTTCCAACTCCAAGAATGTTTCCCTTATTATCATCACCGTAAGTGACGTATCCTTTGGCCTTTAATGATAGACTTGAAAATTTGTTTATGTCTCCCGTCATATGCTTCGAGCAACCGCTATCAAGATACCATTGATTAGTGGTTGTCTTCAAACATACCTACAACACAAAATTAAGTAGTGTTAGGTACCCAAATTGCTTTGGGTCCTTGGTAGTTAGTACCTTTTTCAACCCACACATAATGCCCTTTAGCAACACCAATATTGCGCACATAGCAAGCATTAGGTGTATGGCCTTTAATTCCATAATAAGAACATGTAGGTTGAAAGTGACTTCTATATCTAGGAACATAATTCTTTTTCTTTGCAATGCTTTTCTTGTTATGATTTTGATGCTGAACTTTAGAAGTGCTGGCCTTTTCTTTAACAATTTATTCACTTGCTCTTACGAAAACGGTCTTATTGGTGCTTGGTTTTGAAAATTTAGAATATCCTAATCCACTTTTATCATTAGGATATCTTTGATGTTTTAGAATTTCTTCCAAGCCAATTTGACCTTTTTCGTATCTTTCTAAAACTCTTTTGAGTTGAACAATTTGGAAAGATAAAGACTCACACTTCTTACATACAAGAATTTGTTTTTCATCTTCAATATTTTTCATAAAAATAGAGTTTTGTTCTTCTAAAGATGAGATTCTTTTCTTTTGTGATGAGATGTTTTTATACAAAGTCTTGCACTCTTTTAGAAGTTCATCTATAATTTCTTGTGCATCATTATCATAAACAAAAAAATTACTACTAACCTCATTTTCTTCATCGGAGTGGTGAGAGGCCATTAACGCCATATTTGCACATTCATCATTTTCCGATTCCGATGATGAACTTACTTCGTTGTCGTCCCATGCGACATAAGCCTTCTTTGTTCTGAAATCCTTCTTGCCTTTGAATTTTCCTTTATTTGTGAGTTTCGGGCAATCTGGCTTTATGTGACCTTGTTTCCCACATTCGTAACATGTAATTTCTTGGTTTGATGTGGGTGCTTCCTTTTTCCTGAAATGTCTATTCTTTTTAGAAAAAGAGGAAATTTTATTATTATTAAAAAACTTACCAAGCTTCTTTACTAGAAGCATGCAATTTTCGTCTTCGGAAGATTCGTCATTTTTGTCATCCCTTGTGTCAATCTTCAAGGCAATTCCTTTAGACTTCTTGTCTTAAATTTCATGCTTCTCAAGCCTAGCAAGTTCCAGTTCATGCTCTTGAAGTTTGCCAAATAATGAAGCGGATGTCATCGTTGAAAGACTCTTCTTTTCGAAAATAGCGGTCACCTTCGGTTGCCATTCTCTTGTTAAGGATCTTAGGACTTTCAAGTTGAGATCATCATTGGTGAAGGTCTTCCCGAGAGCAATCAGATGATTAGTTAGATGAACGAATCTCTTTTGTAAGGCAACAATGGATTCACCAGGCTGCATACGGAACATTTCATATTCTTGACTTAAAGTATTAAGTCTTGATCTTTTTACTTCGGCTGTCCCTTCATGCGTTTCTACCAGGGTGTCCCAAATTTCCTTTGCTGATTTACACTGTGATATACGGAAGAATTCGTCCATACTGAGAGCGCTTTGAAGTATGTTGATTGCTTTCTTCTCATTCAAAATTCTCTTTTTGTCATCTTCATCATATGAGGATTTTATCTTTGGAGTGCCTACGTTATTTATGACGCTCATAGGAACATGCGGACCAGTTTCTACGGTTTCCCATATACCATCTCCTTGAGCCTCAAGATGTGCCTTCATACGGATTTTCCAAAATTCGAAGTATTCTCCAGAAAAGAGTGGTGGCTTGTTACTGCTTCCACCATCTTTGAAAACCGGGTTAGTACTAGCGGAAGCCATTAGGATCGATAGGAACAGGTTACCTTAACATGCTATGATGCCAATTGTAAGTACAGAGTATGCCTAAGAGGGGGGGGGGGGGAGGGGGGGGGGTGAATTAGGCTTTTAGGGACTTTTTCCGGTTTTTCGGTATTCTTGAAATTTTACTGGTTAGGTTCTTGGTGATGAATGCAGTAGAAAGAAAAACAAAGTGGACACCAAGATTTATAGTGGTTCCCCTCACAATCCGAGAGTACTCCACTCCCCTTTCAACACTAAAGAGAGTTTTCACTATTGTTTAATAAAGTACAACCTATCACACCATCAACCGGTGAGGCCTACTATCAAACAATACAAATCAATAAGTGTACAAGAACAATCCTCTTGTAAACACTCACCCTTGTGTCCAACAAACCTGGATCACAAGTCAAAATACAAGTAATCTGAATACTTTGATTTGAGAGTAATAATGGTAATATCAATGCTGAGATTGATCTTCTCCTTCTGATCAAAATTCACTCATTTAATTTCAACACAAGTGTTCAATGCTATGCATATGAAAGATATGATCAATATGAACACTTTTGAAAAGATTTGAAAAGTATTTGAAAGTGGTGAATTTGATTCAAAGAATTGTTTTGAAATTGATTATTGGAGGATTGTTTTTCAATTTGAAAAACTCAGAATTTACATGTGTAAACACACCTTTTCCAACAGGTATATTTGAGTATAATTCAAAATATGAACTGGTATAATTTTCAAATCATTTTTTGAACTTGAAACAAAGCCATTTTTCAAAATATGTTCAGTGTTAATCGGTTAACCTATATGGTTAATCGGTTAACACTTGAACGTTATACCAAAATATTCAAAATTTGAAATGGTTAACCGGTTAACCTATATGGTTAATCGGTTAACACTGCTATTTTTCAGAAAAATGCTTATAAAAATAGTGTTATACCAATTCTAATAGTTTAAAAAATATGCTAATGCAATGTGATCAAATGATAAAGATGTTGAACACTTGTATATCAATTAAATTAATGGATTTTGATATACCATAGCTTGTGTCCAAAACTTTGAGAGTTGATCAGTCCAATGTTCATGAAGCTTTGAATGTTGATCACTTCCATTCCACTTGATCTTGATCTTTTGAAAGCTTTTGCCTTTTTGCACAGATGAATTATTCTTGATCTTGATGTTGACGTCATCAAAACTTTGAGATGAAGTTTGCTTCTACAGAAGTGACTCATTATTTTGTGGCATTTCAATTAAATCATCATTATCGTCGTTTTCAGGATTCTCAATTGTTTTCTACAAGAGAAAATGTAGGCACGGATTCACAAGGCTCTTTACTCGTAACAAGAGTAGGATCAGATACATAATCATGACCATTTTCTGCTGGTGCAAATGTAAAAGTCTAAGAGTTTTGTGGTACAGACAAAGATAAATTTTTCAAAAAACTCATGTCCTCAATTTGAAACGAGTCTTCCTTTATCTCCCCCCTTGAAGATGAGTGTCATCAAATAAAGGTTTATTTTTAAAAAATGTAACATCCATAGTGACAAACATTTTCTTGTTTTTTGGATCAAAACATTTATATCCTTTTTGGGTTGAGGAGTATCCAACAAAGACACATTTTATAGCATGTGGCTCAAGTTTTCCAACATTTTTATGTTCATGAACAAAAGTTGTGCAACCAAAGATTTTTAAAGTCAAATCAGTTAAAATACGAGTACTAGAAAAATATTCTTTGAAGACATTAATTGGAGTTTGAAAATTGAGAATTTTGAAGGGCATTCTGTTAATTAAATACGCAGCTGTTAAAACAGTTTCGCCCCACAAATAATTTGGTATTTTATTCGAAAAAAGTAGAGCTCTAGCAACCTTCAATAAATGTCTATTTTTCCTTTCGTCCACTCCATTTTATTGAGGAGTATTAGGACATGAACTTTGATGTACAGTCCCATTTTTTAGAAAAAAATAATCCAAGATAGTGTTAAAATATTCTTTGCCATTATCACTTCTAAAAACTTGAATATTTATTTGAAATTGGTTCTGCACCATTGAAAAAAATTCTTTACAGTCTGACAAACATCTGATTTCTCCTTTAACAAGTACACCTAACATACTCTTGTATAGTCATCTACAAATGTGATAAACCATTTTTTGAGAGAGAATGTAATATGAGATATGTTTGAAATGGAAATGAACTCTCTAACAATAGAAAATAATGTTTTATGAGATATGTTTGTAAAATTTTTATTTTAAATTTCAAAAGTATATATTTTTATTTTAAATTTGCAACTCATTCAACTTTTTTGGGTACCACCTACAAATTTAAAACTTTGACAAAATGATTGTCTTCAACCATACACAAGCAAACATTATCTTACATGATTTTTATTTATATAAAATTTGTTAAAAAGAACATCATCCCTAAGACTTTATTCATGTTTTTTTAAAATAAATAATCTCCAAATAAAACATTAAGAAACAATCCAAAATACTAATGCATTCCCATACAAGTCTATATCTCACACACAAGATATCAAAGGGAAAGAAACAAACAAAACTTGCTAAGGTTTATTGTAATCTACTTTTCTACTTCCATACTTTGAACATTTGTTTGAATATTTCTACTTGACTTAGGATTCCAAACAAACATTTGTTGCCAAATCTCCATGAAAGCTCTCACAATTACTCCATGATAATCCCTAGAATTCAAAGCCAAAAAACACTGCAATAATTGCTCCAAATCCTTAGCTTCTGACATCTCCATCTCTTCTATCATCTCCATCATTGATTTCTTGAAGTCTTCATAAGGATCCTTTGACTTTTTCACCACAGCAAAACTCTCTTTCACCTTCTCTTCCATTCTACTCCTCGTAACCTTAGTTTCTACTCCTCTTTGATTCTCTATAGTACTTTGAAACCTCACTCTTTCAACTTTCTTTACACTATTTATCCTCCTTCTATCCCGGCTAATTATTTCTTTACTCCCCGTGTTATCATGGATCGCGGTGTAGTCGTTGTCGTTGGAGAGTCTTGACAAGCAAGAAATCAAAGTTTCACTTTCTTCTTCATTGATTTTATCAATGAGAAACTCACTCTTTTTAGAGGGGACACTAGAGGTGCTTTTTCGGCCTTTGGATTTCGCTTTATTGATCTTTGAGGACACCTTGCATTGGTGTTCCGGTGAAGATGACGGCGAGATGTTCGGATATCCTATGTCATGTGCTTTGGAGTTTACCGGAGAAAGGCGGTATATGGCGGGGACTGGATTTCCGGGGAAGGAGGAAAGGTCATTGGAGCGACACATTTGAAGAGAAGGGATTGTGAATTTCATCTTGAAGCGTTTAGACATAGTGGAGGTGTGAAAAGTGATGTTGGTGCAAGTTTAATTAAAGCTTTCATGGTTTGAGGTTATTTATAATGGGAAATAAAATGTAAAGAAATAATTTAAGGCCGGCATGGAAAGAATAAAGACAAAAGAAAGTAGGACCAATGATGGTAATAAATATCTTAGAATTCTATTTAGAAAAATTAATTAAAGATTTAAATAATTTTAAAATAAGTAAGTAGAAAAATAAATGAGATTAATATTATGTTATTTGACTTGTTTTTACTATTTGATTAAAGATAAGTTTAGTCTTTTATTCATTACTCAACTAATTTTTGCATTGTGGTGTCTTACATTTCTATTTTATTGAAATTCTTATCAATTTACCAATGTTTTAAAATTTGAACAGACCATTATCCAATTAAGTTATTGATTGGGCGACATGAATTCTAATAATATTAAAATATAATTTTATTTTTCTTTGGTAACATATTTTTTTTTTCAAAATTTTTGTTAGCTTAAAATATTATTATATGGTTTTTAACATTTTAAATTTATTATATTGTATGATTAATAATAAATAAATTTAATGAGAATTGTAATGTTGTTTAAAAAAAATGAGAATTGTAATGTTCTAATTATAAAATATATAACTTTTATAAAATATTTACAACATTTGAAGATACAGAAATAGTATAATATTTAGAAATACCGATGAATAATACAAACATAATTACAAGAATTATAGATAATGTGATGTATAGAGGGTGGCAAAACATTAAGATTAGACGCCACTTTATTAGTTTTATGATGTAATTTTAGTTCTTTTGAAGAGTTAGATCATGCATGGATCACCTAACGTTGTAATGTTTTTTTATTTAATAGTTTTTTTTTTCTTTGATTCAAAATATATATATATATATATATATATATATATATATATATATATATATATATATATATATATATATATATATATATATATATATATATATATATATATGTTGGAAATAATAAAGATTTATTTCCATTAAAGTTGTTCCAAAATGACAAAGTGGGTGATATAGTTAATTGACAATAAATGTTTAGTCCCACATTGGAAGTGGAGTAAAATTAAATAGCATTTATAAGACCCTTGGAACAATGTACTTTCCAAAGGAGCCAAAGAGGATAAAGTGCCACATAGTCATATGTGGTGGTGCCAAGACTTATGTCACTTGTCTCATACAAAACACCGGCTCCGGAACCGAATCCGAGGGCGTGGGCGTAGAGGCGCTAGTGGCGGCTTGTAGACGGCACTTGAGCACTTGATTTTTGAATTTGAATTCGAAATATATGACACTTCATGAAGTGGTGCATGACATTTTATTTGAACCATTGCAAATGCTCATTAGAGAGTGTTGTTTATGAAGAGTTGCAAACTTCCGAAACGACACATGCATGGCTATAAATATATGTTTGATACTTCGAAATCAAATACTATGACACTTCATGAAGTGGTGCATGACATTTTATTTGAACCATTGCAAATGCTCATTAGAGAGTGTTGTTTATGAAGAGTTGCAAACTTCCGAAACGACACATGCATGGCTATAAATATATGCTTGATACTTCGAAATCAAATACTCCAAAAATCTGATATCCTCTTCTATATAATTCCAAACGTTTTCCTTGCATTCGATACTTCACCAGTCTTGTGCAGTTTCGAGAAAAAGGCTGACTTATCCTGGGTATTCAGGTCGTTCCAACTCTAAGACAATTTGAGAGTGTACTTGAAATACTTTTAAGAAAAGTGATTTCGTTCACGATTCAGTCTGGATCCATTCGACATTGAAGCATTATCTAAAAATCTTAAAAGTATTTGTATCATGGATTCCGACGCTACTGTTTCAAGCATCAAGGTTATGAATCAGGATCTTGTCAAATTGGATCGCTTCGATGGAAACAACTTTACCAGATGGCAAGACAAGATGACATTCCTGCTTACTGCACTCAAGGTTCACTACGTCTTGAATCCTGATCTGACGCCAATTTCAGAACCAACTGAAGATGATTCTGACGAACTCAAGAAGAAGCGCATGCTGCGAAGGGAGGATGAATTACTATGTCGTGGACATATTCTGAACACGCTGTCTGACCGCCTATACGACCTATACATGGACAATCCGTCCGCTAGAGACATATGGAATTCATTGGAGTTTAAATTCAAAGCCGAAGAAGAAGGTACGAAGAAGTTCTTAATTTCTAAATACTTTGATTTTAAATTTATAGATTCCAAGCCCATACTTCCCCAAGTGCACGAATTGCAAGTCCTGGTGAACAAAATCAAAGCGGTGAAAATAGACATTCCTGAAACCTTTCAAGTTGGTGCAATCATTGCTAAGTTACCAAGTTCGTGGAAAGGCTATAAAAAGAAACTGTTGCACAGTTCTGATGACTTTTCCTTGGAGAAAATCCAGAAACATCTTCGAATCGAGGAGGAATCGAAGGAGAGGGAAAAATCAGAATCTGCGGGTCTTTCCAAAGCCAATGCTGTGACCAGAAAAGAAAAGAAAAAACATGATGTCAAGAAAAGTCACATCGCACCAAAAAGGGAACATACCAAGTTCAAGAACTTTGGTGGTCCGAAGGGTCCGAAAAATGGATGCTTTGTATATGGAAAACCTGGACATTATGCTCGAGATTGCAGGCAAAATAAATCAAAAAGGGAGATCAATGCAGTAAATGCTAATGATGATATAATTGCTACTGTGAGCGAAATTATGGCAATCAAAGGCAAAGTCCAAGGCTGGTGGTATGATACATGTGCCACGGTTCATGTCTCATATGACAGGGATGCATTCAAAACATATTCTGAGACAAATGATGGACAAGAAGTACAAATGGGAAATGAAGTACGATCCAAAGTTGTTGGAACTGGAACGGTCGAACTCAACTTCACTTCTGGAAAGAAAGTTACTCTTGTTAATGTGCTTCATGTCCCAGACATGAATAGGAATCTTGTTAGTGGGGATTTATTGGGAAAACCGGGTATTAAATCTGTGTATGAATCGGGCAAACTTATTTTGACCCGTAATGGTGTGTTTGTTGGAAAAGGATATTCCGCTGAAGGAATGATCAAACTATGTATTACTTAACATGATTAATGAAATTTCTAATTCTGCTTACATGCTTGATTCAGTTACTTTATGGCACAATAGACTAGCACATATTGGTATTAGTTCAATGAAGAGACTAATCAAATTTGGCTTGATATCATGTAATATCAATGATTTCAATAAATGTGAATTATGTGTTAAATCAAAAATGATTAAGAAACCTTTCAAAAGTGTTGAAAGAAATACAAATCTGCTTGATCTTGTACATTCAGACTTGTGCGAATTTAATGGCATGTTGACCCGTGGGGGAAATAGATATTTCATTACATTTATTGATGATTGTTCTAGATACGCTTATGTATATCTCTTAAAGCATAAAGATGAGGCTTTTAATGCCTTTAAGAGTTATAAAGCAGAAGTGGAAAATCAATTAAGTAGAAGTATAAAAGTCCTTAGGAGTGATAGGGGCGGTGAATACTTTTCTACTGAATTTGATGCATTTTGTGAAGAACACGGTATAATACATGAATGCTCGGCACCTAGAACACCACAACAAAATGGCATAGCCGAAAGAAAGAATCGAACATATCAAGAAATGATGAGTGCCATGTTATTGCATTCCGAACTACCTTTCAATTTGTGGGGCGAAGCCTTATTATCCGCTTGTCACATAATAAATAGAATTCCCTTAAAGAAAACTGGAATTTCTCCATATGAGGTGTGGAAGGGCATGACACCAAATATTGGCTATTTTAAGGTGTGGGGGTGTGTGGCATATTACGAAAACATGGATCCAAAGAGAACCAAGTTGGGTCCTCGAGGGATAAGATGTGCCTTTGTAGGATATGCACAAAATAGCAAAGCATATAGACTTTTAAATTTTGAGTCTAATATTATTGTTGAATCCCGGGATGTAGAATTCTTTGAAAAACTTATCACTAAGGATAAAGAATCAGAGTCGGTCATAAATAAAGAATCTTGTGAAAAAGACTCTTCTCGGATTGTAGAAATACAACCTGAAGGCACATCTCGAATCATTGAACCACAACCCGAACCTAGGATAAGCAAAAGAGTCCGGAAAATAAAGAACCTAGGACCAGACGAAATTGATTCTCAATCCATTTCATTTTATCTGGTTGAAGGAAATAGTACAAATTTTATTAAAAGCATTCCGATAATTCTTCAAGTAGGGGAAGATCCTAAAAATTATAAGGAAGCAATAGCTTCAAGAGACTCCTCCTTTTGGAAAGATGCTATCCGAGATGAAATGGATTCAATTATGTCCAACCACACTTGGGAACTTGTTGATTTACCAAAGGGATCAAGACCCATTGGATGCAAGTGGGTGTTTAAAAAGAAATATCATAATGATGGTACATTAAACACTTATAAAGCAAGATTAGTGGCAAAAGGATTTAGACAAAAGGAAGGTATAGATTATTTTGAAACTTATGCACCTGTAGCAAGAACAACCACTATAAGGTTGTTATTTGCTTTAGCATCTTTGAATGATCTGATTGTTCATCAAATGGATGTTAAAACAGCATTCCTAAACGGAGACCTCGATGAGGAAATCTACATGGAACAACCAGAAGGATACGTCCTTCCTGGAAATGAACAAAGGGTGTGCAAACTTGTCAAATCTCTATATGGCTTAAAACAAGCACCAAAACAATGGCATCAAAAGTTTGATTCTACGATAATGTCAAATGGATTTATTCCTAATTCTTGTGACAAGTGTTTATATACAAAAGTGTATAATAACACTGTAATATTTTTGTGTCTTTATGTTGATGACATGCTAATAATTAGCAATAAACTTAATGGAATTTTAGAAACAAAAAGGTTTCTAACTTCCACTTTCAAGATGAAAGATCTTGGACTTGTTGACACAATTTTAGGAATAAAAGTTAAGCAAAATAGTGG